TAAGTTATTTAAATTTTAAATTAACAAAGAATATCCAGTGAAGGGCAGTTAAAGAAAAAAACAAACCATGACACTAAAACTAGACTAAATGTGGTAAGTTGTGTATGGTATAATTACATTTTTGTGAAATCACTTGGCAAGTGCATAATAAAACAAAATGTATTTCAGGCATAAAGCAAAACATGACTAAGACTAAGAGATATGGAATAATCACACAGTTTTTTTCATAAAGTCTACTACCGTACTAAGATGAAATTGCTTTCCTTAATGCAAGAGAACAAAATAAACTCAAGCAATGCATTTGAATTAGAAGGCCTAATTATTGTAATCAGACTAAATATAATTTTTAGAGAAACACAACAGGAGTTAAAAAAGACAAAAAAACAGCACAATACCTGCAAACAATGAGAGAATTTCATGTATAAACTGATTAGGTCAGAGAATAAAATGAGAATACAATGAAAGACATACAAAATTTTAAAAGGAAAATAATAGTCACTGCTGCTGGGTTTTGGGGAGGGGGGGGGGTTTGGGGTTGTTTTGTTTTGGCTGCTGCTGAGATGATGAATTTGAGAAAAGACCTGAACAACAACAATAAAAAAAAAAAAATAGTGTCAGAATTGTTTTGTCACCTTATCTGGAATAAAGAAAGTAAAAAATTATTGGTTAGCTTTAATATATTCTTATATTTTTAAATTAATAAATATGGATTATTTTATTTGAAACATCTCAAACATATACACACATATACACACAAAAATTAAGTTCTTTTCATTTTACAAGAACATTATTAAATTAAATTATTTAGTAAAAATACAAGTTTTATTCCTTCATATTTAATAGTTGTGAAGAAAAATCCATCTAAAAAAGTAATTCTAAAAAACATTTTCAGAAATATTGCTCTTTGTTTATGAAATAAATGACAGTATAATTCTACTAAAATGTGAACTTGGTTTCATTAGATTAGCAGACAAAAAACATCTTTCTACCCACAAACTAAATTGAAAAAGAAGAACTCCATAATTTATGACTATAATAAAGGTTTAAGATCACTTAGCGCATTGAATTTGCTATGATGCTCATTGTTGTCTATAATGATAATAAAAATCAATTTTGACAAGGGCAGTAATTAATTAGTTTAGATTGTATGATAAGCAGATGGCCTACCACTTAACTTGGAAATATATGAACAATTATTTATTTTTTTTAAATTATTGTTTGTCCGTCGAGGGTCGACGAGGACCATTGAGTCGTCTGGTGACTGATGACTTGCGCGGATGACTTTGTTTAAAGTGAAGAAGAGTTGCGCGGCGTCTACCTCACTCTCTCGTCCGAGCCCACCATATCCAGTGGCAAGACTCTACGTCAAGACGACCAGGGATGGGTTCGGTTGCAGGAATTGTCATTGTTTGCGCCTTACGGGAACAATTAATGAACAATTAGCCACCTTGCTCCCAACATTGTTAGTGGCAACTCATAGCAGCAGCACAATATTAACTAACTTCATAGGGACACAGATGCATCTCTTTCATTTATTAATTTTTTTATATTTTATATTAAAATTATATAGCATGAAGCTGCTTTAAAACCATTTTGTGTTGTTGTTATGGTCAAATATGAATCATGCAGTTGAATAGCTAACCAGAGTTAACTGCAACAATTTTTTTTGCATTATGCCTGTGATGAGAAGATTGAAGCATACTTACAAGACACTGTGAGCCTAATTTGTGGACTAGTGGCACGCCCTACTGTATTGTCTGCCACACAAGAATACAAGCCTGCATCTGCCACAGCATCCAAGCTGAATATAGTCAGACTGGTCATTAAGACAGTGCCACCAATGTATTTGCTTGAATTCTGCGATGTGTTCAGGGCAACACCATTTCTGGTCCAGTAGATACTAGATAACTGTGGGTATGCAGTCACAAGGCATGTCAGATTTGCAGATGACCCTTTGAGAGCTGTGACATTTGTAGAGCTGATGTTAATTTTTGGAGAATCTGAGAGAAAAAAAATTGTCACAACATGCAGACATTTTTATAAATATAAAACAAAAAAAAAGAAATTAATATTTCAAATAGTTGAAGTTACTAGATTCCAACCTCATCCCCTATGCAACTGCATTAACAAACATTCACTATTTTATTTCAAATTATTTTCTTGGTGTTAAAAATTTTTTTTAAAAAGCATATCATTTGTGAATCTCAAGCATAAAATTAATATAAATGAAACAACTTTTGAGGATTTAAAACTTTGATGAAATTTCTAAATAAATAAATGACAAATGTTTTTAAAAAAGAAAAGAAATACAAATTTTAAAACTGTATCAAAACTGAATTTAATGAGAGCAATTTAGAATTTAAATCTTTTCTTTAACAAATGATTAAAATAATACAAATGAGCAGTTACAGTGACTGAATTTGTCTTCTTACATGTAACAACCAAAGAAAGCAATGGGCTTGAACCTGATCCTAAGGCATTTTGAGCCACGCAAGTGTAGGCCCCTGCATCTGCTGCAGAAATATTTCTTACAGTCAAATTTGGGTTGTCCAATGTGGCCCCAGCGTACTTTGATGCCTGCGAAGAGACATTTATTTGGACACCATCTTTCAGCCAGGACACATTTGTGGCTGCTGGGTTTCCTCTAATGATACAGTTAAGAGTGTATGAAGTTGTTCCTTCACTCACTGTTGCTGATGTTTGGCTGGTTGTAACTACAGGAACATCTGTAGCAAATTGAAATTGTACATTAGTAAATGGCATCAGCAGGCCGTTGAGCTAGTAACAAGCTTTTTATGCCCTCTCCAAAGCAAACTCCCCCCCCCCCCCAGCCTGAAAATTTGGCTGCAAAGTGGTATGATAGAGATCTCCCTTTACCAGGACAGCACCAGCCAACACCCACTCGATTGGGTGCCAACGAAGGTCATCCCAGCCTAAGGACATCACTTTGGCCAGTAACGCTGCTCTCACGGCATCAGCAATCAACTTTCCCAGGGGGGTCAGGATGATATATTTACATTCTAAAATCTTGCCCCCTCCAATCCCAAGAAGAGTCTGACACCCTCTGTTACGGATGTTTACAGTGGCTTTCTATCTCACAACTAACTTGCTAAACAGTTGCCTAGCAACAGCTTCCTCAAATAGAATCATCAGCATGAGGTTTCCGCTACCCACTCCATGCCTCACATCAATAAACTGCAACATATAATCATGATCGCCACCCTGTTTTGGCCATTTTATTTCCAGCTGCAGATTTTTTACAGCTGGATACCCCTGTAGATGAAATGCATGTTCTTTGTTTGCAAAATCAGGGTAATGCCTATGGTGGTTTGGGGGAGGAGGGGGTATGTCAGGAGCAGTGCCAATTAATTCAGCAAAGCCATGACAGACTTGCCAACCAGAGCCAGGGAAAAGGCAGGGTGTAGAAAATAAAATGTTTTATTTCATTTTTTTTCTATTCAAGTGTCAAACTTTAGGAAATTTTAAAAAATAAGATTATGTATTAATCAGCTATTGATTTTGAATGCACAGAAGCAACGCACACACACACTAACAAAAAAAAACAACAGAACCTGGCAAATCTATGATTTAAATTTTTTTTTTATAAATATTTAAATTTTTAGCCCTGAATTTGTTTTACAACATTTTTAATTAACCAAAAATAAAAAATGTCTACTAGAAATTAATATAAAAATAAATAGCTTCCTGACTAAGAATTACAATAAAAAAAAAAGATATAAAAACAATGTGTAAAAATAAAAACTTGTAATGTTACCACTTGGCCTATAATTCCAGATAAAATATTCACATTGTCATTGTTCTTTCTAAAATATTAGGGAAAGGATGGAAAGGGTGAGGCAGATAGCAGTAGACCAGAAAGAAATTTTTATGGGCATTTGCTGCATATGAAATTCATGACGCAAAGAAAAAATCTAACATAATAAAATTTTACTGCTGAAAAACCTAAAAAATGCTAAATCATATTTATGTAAGAGTCTACTTACATTGGAGATTAAGTGTAATATTTCCACTTATTAACTAAAAGAAATCATCTTTAATAGTAAATTCATACATAATGGACTCAAATCTTATTCCAAATTGTATATTTAATTTTATTTTTTTCTGAAAAGTTCAAATTTTGGACTAATGTTTCTAAATAAATTATTTTAAATTAAATGTATATAGGTATAAAATATAATTTGACTTTTAAAAAAAAATACTAATGCAGTATCATTTTTGAAGTTATGTTAATAATATCAACCTTTATTTTCACAGTCTTTTCTATTGGATTTCTATACTTGTATGCTTAATCTACTTTAGATATATTAACATTCTGAAGAGCCAGCTAATACTAAATCATATTAATATAACAGTCTTCTTACATTGGAGATTAAGTGTAACATTTCCACTTGGTGTAGTTCCAAACTGATTGGTAGCCACACAGACATAAGCTCCACCATCTGATGGGCTCAATGAGTAGATGGTCAAGCTTGGCACTGCACTGGTACCTCCTGAATACTTTGCTGCATTGGTGGTGCTTAGCCGTTGGCCATCCTTGGTCCAGTACAGGTCAGTTAGAGAATTTAGTGGTGTCACTTGGCATGTCAAGGTCACTTGTTGGTTTTCATTAGCATTGATGGTGGCATTGGGTGTGCTAATCACTGGAACATCTACAGAATTATACAATATTTTAATACACTTTATTTGCTCACCAATCATATTTTTTTCCCTGAAAATTAAATTTATTCACTTGCACTATATACTCATGTCCTTTAATTGTCTGAATATTTATTTATTGGCTGACACTGACACATTTTAAAAGTCATATTATTGAATCAAACAAAATGTAATTTTATTAACTATTACAGACTTACTTGTTACTGTGACAGTTACAGGATCACTGTTGGTTGACCCCAATGAATTACTTGCAGCACACACATATGAACCAGCATCGGAAGAGGCAGCATTGAAGATCCTCAATGTTGTATCTACAGTTGTGCCTCCTGAATATTTGGTAGGGTTGGAGCTTGAGCTGATTGTCACCCCTGACTTTGTCCAAGAGAAACTCGTAATGTTAGGATTTGCATTTACATTACATGTAAGGATGATGGTGTCACCTGGACTGCTTGTGACTGTAGCATTGGTTACTGTCAGTCTGGGAACATCTGAGAAATAAAAGAACAAATGTGTTTAGATTTATTACTTGATCACATTTGGAAAACAACTAAAAGAAATCATCTTTAATAGTAAATTCATACATAATGGACTCAAATCTTATTCCAAATTGTATATTTAATTAATTTTTTTTCTGAAAAGTTCAAATTTTGGACTAATGTTTCTAAATAAATTATTTTAAATTAAATGTATATAGGTATAAAATATAATTTGACTTTTAAAAAAAAATACTAATGCAGTATCATTTTTGAAGTTATGTTAATAATATCAACCTTTATTTTCACAGTCTTTTCTATTGGATTTCTATACTTGTATGCTTAATCTACTTTAGATATATTAACATTCTGAAGAGCCAGCTAATACTAAATCATATTAATATAACAGTCTTCTTACATTGGAGATTAAGTGTAACATTTCCACTTGGTGTAGTTCCAAACTGATTGGTAGCCACACAGACATAAGCTCCACCATCTGATGGGCTCAATGAGTAGATGGTCAAGCTTGGCACTGCACTGGTACCTCCTGAATACTTTGCTGCATTGGTGGTGCTTAGCCGTTGGCCATCCTTGGTCCAGTACAGGTCAGTTAGAGAATTTAGTGGTGTCACTTGGCATGTCAAGGTCACTTGTTGGTTTTCATTAGCATTGATGGTGGCATTGGGTGTGCTAATCACTGGAACATCTACAGAATTATACAATATTTTAATACACTTTATTTGCTCACCAATCATATTTTTTTCCCTGAAAATTAAATTTATTCACTTGCACTATATACTCATGTCCTTTAATTGTCTGAATATTTATTTATTGGCTGACACTGACACATTTTAAAAGTCATATTATTGAATCAAACAAAATGTAATTTTATTAACTATTACAGACTTACTTGTTACTGTGACAGTTACAGGATCACTGTTGGTTGACCCCAATGAATTACTTGCAGCACACACATATGAACCAGCATCGGAAGAGGCAGCATTGAAGATCCTCAATGTTGTATCTACAGTTGTGCCTCCTGAATATTTGGTAGGGTTGGAGCTTGAGCTGATTGTCACCCCTGACTTTGTCCAAGAGAAACTCGTAATGTTAGGATTTGCATTTACATTACATGTAAGGATGATGGTGTCACCTGGACTGCTTGTGACTGTAGCATTGGTTACTGTCAGTCTGGGAACATCTGAGAAATAAAAGAACAAATGTGTTTAGATTTATTACTTGATCACATTTGGAAAACAACTAAAAGAAATCATCTTTAATAGTAAATTCATACATAATGGACTCAAATCTTATTCCAAATTGTATATTTAATTAATTTTTTTTCTGAAAAGTTCAAATTTTGGACTAATGTTTCTAAATAAATTATTTTAAATTAAATGTATATAGGTATAAAATATAATTTGACTTTTAAAAAAAAATACTAATGCAGTATCATTTTTGAAGTTATGTTAATAATATCAACCTTTATTTTCACAGTCTTTTCTATTGGATTTCTATACTTGTATGCTTAATCTACTTTAGATATATTAACATTCTGAAGAGCCAGCTAATACTAAATCATATTAATATAACAGTCTTCTTACATTGGAGATTAAGTGTAACATTTCCACTTGGTGTAGTTCCAAACTGATTGGTAGCCACACAGACATAAGCTCCACCATCTGATGGGCTCAATGAGTAGATGGTCAAGCTTGGCACTGCACTGGTACCTCCTGAATACTTTGCTGCATTGGTGGTGCTTAGCCGTTGGCCATCCTTGGTCCAGTACAGGTCAGTTAGAGAATTTAGTGGTGTCACTTGGCATGTCAAGGTCACTTGTTGGTTTTCATTAGCATTGATGGTGGCATTGGGTGTGCTAATCACTGGAACATCTACAGAATTATACAATATTTTAATACACTTTATTTGCTCACCAATCATATTTTTTTCCCTGAAAATTAAATTTATTCACTTGCACTATATACTCATGTCCTTTAATTGTCTGAATATTTATTTATTGGCTGACACTGACACATTTTAAAAGTCATATTATTGAATCAAACAAAATGTAATTTTATTAACTATTACAGACTTACTTGTTACTGTGACAGTTACAGGATCACTGTTGGTTGACCCCAATGAATTACTTGCAGCACACACATATGAACCAGCATCGGAAGAGGCAGCATTGAAGATCCTCAATGTTGTATCTACAGTTGTGCCTCCTGAATATTTGGTAGGGTTGGAGCTTGAGCTGATTGTCACCCCTGACTTTGTCCAAGAGAAACTCGTAATGTTAGGATTTGCATTGACATTACATGTAAGGATGATGGTGTCACCTGGACTGCTTGTGACTGTAGCATTGGTTACTGTAAGTTGAGGTTTGTCTGAAAAAAAAATATAAGCTTGACTTTTTTTCTTTAGTTTGAACATGATTGTCAAATTTATAATTAAATTGTTTGAAGTCTATTCTTTAAGAATTTTATTTCTTTTATTTGCATGGATTTTTAAAAAAACAAAACTGTTTTATCATAATAACTTCAATGAATAACAGTATATTTTATAATTTAGAAACTTTTCCAATAAATAGATAATGGCGGGCCTACAGGGTACACCTCCAAAGCTCCAGAGGGAAACTGCTCAAAGGCAGACATAGGCTGAGATGGATGGATGATTTAGAAAAAGAATTGCAGCAGCTGGGAATCCAAGTATGGAAAGGAAAATCATCAGTTAGTGGAAAGAAATAGTGAGGCAGGGATAAGTCCTACACAGGCTATAGTGCCACAGGGATGGGTTGGTAGGCCAACATTAGAAAAGATGTAATACATAAACTAAATACAATTTAAAGTGCTTTAAATGATATAATTATACGAGATATTTCAAATTAGAAATCTTAACCTCTCTTGAAAAGTTTTTTTTATAATATATCAGGTAATGGAACAACACCATTTGGACTGACACTTATGCATTAAGCTTTTCTTAAAAATTTGTGAAAGTGGCATTTATTTTAACAATTAGTTTGGAAAAAAATATGTACCGAATTTGAAGCATTATCATTTACACTGTGACTCACATGTTAAATCTAGTGTGATATTGCTTCCAGACTGAGATGAGGTATAACACATGTATGTGCCACTGTCACAGTCTGTCAGGAAGTAAATAGTCAAACTTGGTCGAATCAGATTTCCACCAGAATATTTAGACGTGTTGTTGGTGTTGAGCCTCTGTCCATCCTTGGTCCAGTAGAGTTCAGTGATGGATTCAAAGGATGCGATGGGGCAGTTCAAGGTCACATGATCATTCTCTGTGACATTAACATCAGTTTGGTTGCCAACGATGACAGGCTGTGCTGTTTTATACCGATGAGGTTTGAAGGAAACCGAAGCACACAAAATAAATAAAAGCAAGAGTTTGTTTAAGTGCAAGTGATGTTAACTAGATAAGCACCAACCAATTCAGAAATTATTTTTTTATACAATTTTGCTAGTGGGAAATATAAATTGTATAAAACAGCAGCTAGAATTTAGTTAGAATACAATAAAAGATCAGGGACACAAAAAATAAAAAAATATATTTGATGAAAAAAATATTTATTTTTATTTTCAAATCAGTTTGTCTGATTTGATAAATTTCATTGGTGTGTTAATAAGAGGGTTTTAAATGACATCAAGTGACATCATGACAACATTTATCTACTAAGTCATGCATGGTGGCAACTTCCCAAGTGTCATTTAAGATCAGGGAACTCGCTCTTTGAGGAATGTGTATTAGGACAATGTGCAGTTTGTTTTTTCTACTTGCTGCTTTTTGTATGCAGTTAATATCAAAGCCGGTTTTGCCACCAGTCAGTTTAGTGGGTTAGGATTACATAGGGTGACAACTAACAACAAAAATTAATTAAGTAATTTATACACATTGAGCATGTTGAATGAAGATTACATTAAACACATTTTCTTCCCAGCATGCAATAACAAAAAATGCAATTTCAAACTAACCAGATCTAAAACTCAAGAGCTGACTGTTTGTTTTTGGGATTTATGTTTTCTAGCCATGCACATATAAAGCGAGAAAAAAAAAAAACTGATATGTTTTAGCTATTGAAATTATTTTAAATTTTCCACCAATTTTATAAGAGACTGTTATCATTTGGGCTAGGAACGAAATGCTTTTATATTTTTAAAACAATTAAAACATCTGTGATGAGGCTGTCTAAAAGAAGGGCTCTAATAAATTGTTAATAGTTGATAAAGGCATATGAAAGAAATTTTCAAATGTTTTAAAATTATGTTTGATTACCATTTACGAAAGATTAATTTTACCGTTAAGTTTGAAAACATAAATATTACCTATGAGCTGCCGTCGCGAACAATCGAAATCTCACATGTAATACTCACAGCAAAGTAGGAAAAGATAAGATGGAAGTTGGCATGCGCAAGGGTTATTTGATAGCTACATCAAACAAATATATTACTCACATATTATGGTAAGTGTTAATGAAGAGCTGGTGGTCTGTCCAACAGAATTCCCAGCAACACAAGCATATGAGCCTGGGTCAGTGACTGGATCTAGATTAAATATGGTCAAGTTGGTCTGTGACAGTGTCCCTCCCAAGTACTTAGGATTCTGAAATGTTTCCAGAGTTTGGCCATTCCTTGTCCAATAAAAGCTTGTTAGAGCTGGGTATGCTGTGACGATGCACATAAACGTAGCGGAAAATCCCATCTGCTCTGTAATGTTATTGCTGCCCACAGTCACGATAGGTGGATCTGAAAATTAAATGTTATTTAATAACGTCTATTTTTCTTTAGTGTTTAAATCCCAAGCTTAATGTATTATAGTTACAATTTTTTTTTTTTTTTGGTAAGAAAATAAATGCAAGGATGCTCATTTGTTTCATTAAGAAATATTCATTTAGATGACCTAAGTTAAATTAAAAAATTATAGATTTCAGACTGCTCTTTAAGAGTGTGCCACCAAAAAATAACTTTACCAATTATTTCAATATTTTTTTTTAATCTAACTGCTACAACTGTGGTAAAATATATAAAATAAAGTCAAATAATAATTGTGTTTTCAAAATTTTTTTTATAAAAACTGAACTAACTTGGTAGCCCAATGATTAATTTCATAAAATGTTTAGCAACACGCTCCCTTTAGATAAATTACTAATAGACAAAGTACAATTTAAGTTGTTTGTTTTCAAGCTCCATAAAAAAAGATATGTATAACTGGTCATTTAAAAGTAAGTGTAAACGTTGCTAAGTCTTTTCTTCTTTGGTTATACTTATCAGCAGAAAATGACATTCAAACAAGAGAACCTACAACTAATGAGTACAGAAATCAAAGGACTGGTTCCTGTTCCAATTGAATTCTGGGCCACACACGCATAAAAGCCTGCATCATTTCGGGTCACATTCAACAAACTCAGGCTTGGAGTATTCTGGGTCCCGCCGCTGTACTTGTTGGGTTGGCCAACAGCGTCAAGCGTTGTGCCATCCTTTTGCCAGTATAGGCTAGTGGCTAGCGGTGTGGAGGATACGCTGCAGTTGAGTGTGAACACAGCAGTGCCTTGGGGTACAGTTGCTGAGGCTGGAGCCACGTTCACAGTTGGAACATCTGAAAAAAGGATAAATGAAATAACATACTATTTACAGGACAAATTAGGATAAATGTTTTCTATGAAATAACATACTATTTATGTTTGGTATGAAATAAAATACTATTTACAGAATTAATTAACACACTCTTGAGTAATGAATTGCTAATGTTGGAATACAAACAATTATATGCAATATATAAGCTCTTATGCGATCACCTCAATTTTTATTTCCAAATGTTTTTCTCTTTGTTATTTTTTTTTAGATAACCAGACACTAAGACATTATAAATAAATATAATAAATATAGATAGATATTTAATTTTTTTAAATGAATATAAGTTATGAACAAAAATAATTATCTTTTCAAATATTAAGTGAGTTAATAGCGTAC